GGGGGGGGGGGGGGCGTCTCCGCCGGGAACGGGGGTTCGTTCCTGCCTATCGCCCCCTCGGCCCCCGGGCTGGACACCGGGGGCTGACAGGGGACAGGGACCCCAGCCCTGCACCCCCAACCCCAATTGAAGACCCCCAGCCTCGCTGTGGGGCTGCAGCTGCCCTGTGGGTTTGGGGACACCGGTTCCAGCTGTGTCCCCGTGTCACTGTACACATATCGAACATCAGTTTCTCCACACGTAACTGTAAATTCGGGGGGGCAACCAGAGGTGCTGGGTCCCACCTAATTTGGGGGTCCTGCACCCCGGACCCCACTTTCATCCGCCCCCACTGACAGCACTGGGGGGAAGGGTGGGGCAGGAGCCCCGGTGCTGCTGTGGGGGACCAGGAGAGTGCTTGGAGGGTTGGGGTTTGGAGTGGTTTGGGGGTGTTTTCCTGCCGGGAGCAGCCCTGGCTCGGCCCCTGGCTCTTGGCTGGGGCAGCAGCTCCCGCTGCCAGAATCATCCTCCCTCCCCGGGAAAGGGAAAAATCGGGTAAACAAGGCAGGCCTGGCCCCGGGCGGGGGCAGCCCACGGCAGGTGGGGGCACCCCAAGACAGGCGGGGACATCCCATGGTGTCCTGGCACTGCGGAATGGGGCAGACCAGGGCTGGGGGACAGAGCCCCAGGAAGTGCAGGATCCGGGGGTGCAGGGTGTGGGGGTGCAGGGACACCCCAGGAAGGTGCAGGATTGCAGGACTGGGGGGAGTAGTGTGCAGATCCATGGACGTGCAGGATTTAGGGACGAATGCATGCCAGGAGGTTGCAAGGACCCAGAAAGGGATGCAGGGTCAGGGGATGTAGGGACCCCACGAGGATTTAGGGGTGCAGGGCCACAGGAAAGGTGCACTGGGATAGCGTTTGGGAGTGTCAGGACCCTAGGAGGGTTCAGGGGCCCAGAAACTGGGGTGATACTGTGACATGGGGGTGCAAAAGTGGGGCAGGACCCCCGAGGGAGGGGGGACCCCAGTGTGTTCATCCCGTGGGGGGGTCCGGGGAGCACCCCCAGGGGGAGCAGCCATGGCAGGCGGGGAGCCCTCTCACCTGCCCCCTGCCCAAGATCTCACGTGCTGATGTTTGTGTTCCCTCTGCAGCCTCGGGACCCCACGGGGGGTGGGGCGAAGTGGGGTAGGGGGCGGGACAGCACCGGGAACTCCTTCAGCCTCCAGATCCCCCACCTCAGACCCGCCACCGGGGAACTCTCCTCCCCTTTCCCATTCCGTTGTCACCCCCTGTTTGACCTTCCCAAAGGTCAAATGTGTGAGGAAGAGGGGGGGACACCCCATCAGCCCCCCCCCAACCCACAGGTCACACAGAGGCCACGGCGTCGTGGCCAGCGACCGGGTTGGCATCTGTGCCAGCCCATGTGAGCGGGCTCCCTCCTCCTCCTCCTCCTCCTCCTCTTCCTCCTCCTCCTCCTCCTCCTCCTCGCGCGGGGAGCCCTCTCCATGCGCGTCACGTGGCGCTGGCATGTGCGCCCTGCTCCATTTTTAGCCCCAGCAGCCTCCCTGCTGCAGAGCCATGTGCGGGCGGGCGCCGGCCGGCACGTGGGCCTGCCGCAGCGGGGATGGGCACCGGCACCGGCACCGGCACCGGGCCGGGCCGGGCAGGACGGGCACGGCGGGGACACGGCACCCGTGTGTGTGGATACCTGTGTGTGAGCACGGTCATGTGTGTGTGAGCACAGCTAGGTGTGTGTGAACATGGTTCTGTGTGTGAACATGGTTCTGTGTGTGAACATGGTTCTGTGTGTGAACATGGTTCTGTGTGTGAACATGGTTCTGTGTGTGAACATGGTTCTGTGTGTGAACATGGTTCTGTGTGTGAACATGGTTCTGTGTGTGAACATGGTTCTGTGTGTGAACATGGTTCTGTGTGTGAACATGGTTCTGTGTGTGAACATGGTTCTGTGTGTGAACATGGTTCTGTGTGTGAACATGGTTCTGTGTGTGAACATGGTTCTGTGTGTGAACATGGTTCTGTGTGTGAACATGGTTCTGTGTGTGAACATGGTTCTGTGTGTGAACATGGTTCTGTGTGTGAACATGGTTCTGTGTGTGAACATGGTTCTGTGTGTGAACATGGTTCTGTGTGTGAACATGGTTCTGTGTGTGAACATGGTTCTGTGTGTGAACATGGTTCTGTGTGTGAACATGGTTCTGTGTGTGAACATGGTTCTGTGTGTGAACATGGTTCTGTGTGTGAACATGGTTCTGTGTGTGAACATGGTTCTGTGTGTGAACATGGTTCTGTGTGTGAACATGGTTCTGTGTGTGAACATGGTTCTGTGTGTGAACATGGTTCTGTGTGTGAACATGGTTCTGTGTGTGAACATGGTTCTGTGTGTGAACATGGTTCTGTGTGTGAACATGGTTCTGTGTGTGAACATGGTTCTGTGTGTGAACATGGTTCTGTGTGTGAACATGGTTCTGTGTGTGAACATGGTTCTGTGTGTGAACATGGTTCTGTGTGTGAACATGGTTCTGTGTGTGAACATGGTTCTGTGTGTGAACATGGTTCTGTGTGTGAACATGGTTCTGTGTGTGAACATGGTTCTGTGTGTGAACATGGTTCTGTGTGTGAACATGGTTCTGTGTGTGAACATGGTTCTGTGTGTGAACATGGTTCTGTGTGTGAACATGGTTCTGTGTGTGAACATGGTTCTGTGTGTGAACATGGCTCTGTGTGTGAACATGGTTCTGTGTGTGTGTGTGTGTGAACATGGTCATGTATGTGAACATGGTGACCCCTGTGTGTGTGAGCACTGTCATGTGTGTGAACATGGTTTTGTGTGTATGTGAACATGTGTGAACACGGCTCTGTGTGTGTGAGCATGGTCACATGTGTGTGTGAACATGGCTTTGTGTGTATGAACATGGTCATGTGTGTGTGAACATGACCACGTGTGTATGTGAACATGGCTCTGTCTGAACGTGGCCACACGTGTGTGAACATGGCTCTGTGTGTGTATCAATATGTTCATGTGTGTGAGAACAACCACATGTGTGTATGGCCACAGTTATGAACATGAGAACAGCCATGCGTGTGTGTGAATATGAATACAGCCATGCATGTGTGTGAGTATGAATATTAGAACAGCCATGCATGTGTGTATGAATATTAGAACAGCCATGCATGTGTGTATGAATATGAGAACAGCCATACATGTGTGTATGAATATGAGAACAGCCATACATGTGTGTGAACGTGGCCACGCGTGTGTACAACCACGGCTCCGTATGTGTATGACAGTGGCTACACGCATGTATAAACACAGACACGCGTGTGTGTGCACAGCCACACCTGTGTGTGACCACAGCCATGTGTGGATGTTTACAATCACATGGGGGGACAGCCACAGCCCCCCGCATGTCTGAGCAGCCTTACATGTACACACGCTGATGGGCACAGCTGCTGGCAGGGCTCGATGTGACCCATGGCACAGCAGGAACCTCGGAGAGGCTTCCCCAGTGCCACACCACGGGGGTGGCACCGCCAGCGTGACCCGGGCACCGGGACCAGGGCACCCTGATGCTCGCAGAGGGCTGGGTGAAGGGGGAATCTCCCCCCGCGTGTGTTTGTGTGTCCCTGAACGCAGCTCTGCAGAGAGGCAGATCCCCCACGTGTCCCCTGTGCGTCGCCAGCACGTGCCACGCGTGTCCCCTGTGTGTCCCCGGTGTCACGGCCCCGTGTGCTGCGGGGGGTGGAGTTTCAGCCGGGAGAGGGGGAAATGATTCTGTGTGTGTGTGAATACGTGTACATACATGTCCGTGCATGCCCGTACGCGTCCATGCGTGTGCTCGGACGCTGCAGTCCGGACTGTGCGTGTGCATCCATGTCCATGAGCGTGCATCCATGTGCACACGTGTGTTCTGGGACTGCAGCCGGGGGTGCATGTGCACGGGCTGCAGTGTCTGCGGGCTGCGCCTGTGCTGCAGTGGGGGCTGCAGTCGCTCCCTGCAAGGGGACACGCGTGTGCATGTCCGTGTACGTACGAGTGTGCTGGGGCTGCAGCCTCTGCAGAGGGGGTGGTGCGCACTTGTGTGTGTCTGCGCGTTCTTGCACACGTCCAGCAGGAACTGCAGAGCTCCGCGTGTGCACGGGGAGGGGGGGTTCCGTCCCCGTCAGGGGGTTCAGCCCCCGTGGTGGAGGGGGGTGTGTGCCTATGGGGAGGTGCAGACCCCGAGAATCACAGCACCACCATCCCCTCTCGGCCCTCCCCGCGTGGGGGGCTGGTAGCGGTGGGACCCTTTGTGTTGTCCCTGCACACAATCCGGAGGTCCCCCGGCCCCGCCGTGTCCCCTCCCGGCACGGGACCGGCCCGTGACCCGAGACCCCCCCCCCCCCCCCGTGGGGCGGGCGCGGGGGGCGGGCGCGGAGAGCCGGTACCACCACGCTCGGGAGCCCCCGAGCGGCCGCCCCCGGTACTGCAGCGCGGGACCCCCGCCCCACGCGCGTCCGCGTGTCGCGACCACCCCCCCCCCCCAGCCCGGGGGCAGCGGCTCGGGTGGGCACCGTCCCGAGGGTCCCCGGAAGGGACCGGCCCCGCTCCTCACTCCCGGGGATCCCACCGCCCCCACCGCCGCCGGCGCATGCGCGCCGAGCCCCGTTCGCCGGTACCCGGGGTCCCGTGCCCGGTACCGACCCCCGCCCCGCCGCCCCCCCTCGCGGCTCATCCCCGCGCGGGTTATCCCCGGGGCGGGGGCCGCTCCGCGCCGATGCCCCCGGCGCCCCCCGCGCCGCCGCCCCGCGGTGCCGGCGGGCGGTAACGGGGCCCGGCCATGCGGTCCACGGCGTTCCGGGGGGGCGGGCGGCGGCGGCCCGAGGGGGCGGGCGGGGAGGAGGAGGAGGAGGAGGGGGAGGAGGGGGAGGAAGGCCCCGCTCCGCCGGCCCGGCGGCCCCGGGCCCCGCCGCCGCTGGGGGCACACACGGGCCGCGGCTGCGGAGTGGCGGAGCGGGAGCGGAGCGGGGCCGCGGCGGGGCCGGCGGCCGGCGGGGGCAGGGCCGCGGCGGGGGATGCGGGCGGGCTGCCCGGGGAGGCGGCGGCGGCGGGGCCGGGAGCGGGGCCGGGGCCGGGAGCGGGGCCCGCGGAGCCGGGGAAGCGGCGGCCCGCGGCCCGCGCAGCGATGGGCGCCGGCGGAGGGTCGCCCGGGCAGGCCGCCTGCCTGCGGCAGATCCTGCTGCTCCAGCTGGACCTGATCGAGCAGCAGCAGCAGCAGCTGCAGGCCAAGGAGCGGCAGATCGAGGAGCTCCGGGCCGAGCGCGACACGGTACG